TTGATTTACGTGAAAGCAATAACACCACATGTCAGTTTTTTGTGGCTTAAGTAGGTTACAATACTGGATCAAAAAAAAAGCCCAGGGCACAAAATTATTTGTCGAACAAACCGGGGGGCTCAGACTTTCTATATTCTATTACCCTGGCATGGCATCTTATTATATCAGTTATTATAGATACTATAGATATTAATAGTCATGTTACAGCATCCTGCCATATCATGTTTTGTATACTATAGCACCAGGAAAACAATTTGTCTGTGACCCAGTATGTTTATACAAAATCTAATCAAATATTGCAATAACTGGTATCTTTATAAAGTGAGGACAGAGGCTTACCTAGGGAACAAAGGGCCCTGGTGCAAAAAAAAACAAAACACAAACCCCCCAATCCACATCCCCTGTAGCAACCACAAAACAAATTGGAAAAATATAATTGCTGTATAAAGTACTGCTGAGATTTGTAGTCCTCTATAGATAGTCCCATTCTGCATTGCTGTATAGCACTACAAATGCCAGCTGTACTTTATACAGCATGCCCATCATTTGGGCTACAAAAAATAATGATTTTATTTAATAACTTGCCTTCACCTCTTCTGGCGGGGGAGGCTGCAGAAAAACACACCAGTCCATCTCAGACAGCGCGCCCGTATACTCAGACGGCTGCTTGCTTGGTCCTCACGGGCCCAGGGCTGCCCCCTGAAGTGTCTGCCATTTTTTTTATTCTTGGCTCTCTCATTATCCGGCGGCCAGTGGGCCGCCGGATAATGATCATCCGACACTCCCGGCGCAGAGATGAGGGGGCCGGCTGGCTGCCAGATACCAATGTGGTCATCGGACACTCCTGGCGCAGAGATGGCCCCCCGAGGCTGTGTTAGATCAGATACTCACTCCTAACCCCCATAAGACAGCCTGTTAGACTAGTGTTCTTTCACTTGTGCTTTGACATTAGAGAAAGGGGAATGAGTGACATGTTCCTCCATACCTGGAAGTACCAAGTATTTTCTTCTCTAGTACGGATGGCTGAATAGAGTGTTGGGTGAGTGAAGGAAAGGTAACTATGGAACCAATTTAGAACAGAGCGTGGATATGGATATTTGCTCTCCATTATACCCTCCAACATTACTCAATATCACAGCCTACAGTCCATTCAAAAAATGCAGGCCTGTTCCTTTGCCCTGCTTTTGGTAAAACATAAGTTTGCATTAAGCTGAATTCTTACATATACCTGCCTATGTCTGAGAGAGGAAGATGTGTCAGTTGCAGCCATGAAAGCACTTCAAGCCAGAACCTTTCAGTCAAATGAAAGACATTAATAAGTTTGTAGGCTGCTTCCCATTTCCTACATGTGTCAAAACATGTTAGTGTTCAACAGCACCCATCAATGCCAGTAAAAGGATGGACTGGTCCTTGTTCCTGAGGTTTTAACTGCAATAACATTTCTTTCCAGAAAGAATGACAGATTTAATTGAGTTCTGCATCATATCTAGGGGGATAAAATGACCATACCTCTGTCACAAAACCATGATAATCTACTAAGGCATCAGTGTGGACATTTCAACGTATATATACAGCCTGGATGCAGGAATTTCCTGGTTTAAAGAATGCAGCCTACCACTGCAAAGCACGTTATGCATCAGTGATGTTACTAGTATTTATTGACCTGACATTCAAAATATTGTTTCAGCTTTCACAATAGCTTCACATATTGTGTGTCTGTGCAGGCATATTAGTGGAAGTGTGTGCTGTCCTTCCTAAATGAGTACAGACAAACAGATAAGTGATTTAAGCTTTATCTAGTCTTTTCAGTGATTTACTTGCCCTCTGGTTAAACAAAACCGTAATGGCTTGTAACAGGACCTAGGGTTATATCTTCACAAAATCCCTCTTAACAGAAGTCTTGTGCCAATCTTAAGTGCAGTAATGAGGTGATGCTGTAAGAGGTGTAAGATGGTTCTCTTCAAAACCAGACACAGGTTATCAGGGTTTCCTTATTATAGGCCAGGAAGTAACAAATCTGAAGAATTAAAAACATGTGACAGCCTGAACAGTGGGGTTAAAGGCATTCCAATACCTAGAAATCCAAGCACTTGCAAATAATTGCTGCAATTTCTAAATAAAGCCTGCAACTGTGAGATGCTGGATTTGTATAGTTTATAGTTCTTAAACCTTTAGAGACATATTTTGAGGACCCGGGTGTTTGGTCAAAATGAAAGATGTCCAGTGTCATTTAGAAATGTGTGCCTAGTTACTGTCCGCATGAGAACATGAAAAACACAGCTATGGTGGTCTATTTAACAATCCAAACAATAATTATTACTGTGTGTAATCTTATTTTCTTATAGCTATGTTCTTAGCTCCCAACTGTCCCTCATTTGGAGGGACTTTCCTTCTTTTGCAACTAAATGCCTCTGTCCCTTTTTCCTCTTCAGCTGTATTTCTTTTTGGTCTGATGTATGCAAAAAAAAAATGCATATTTTAACCATCAAAACTGTTTTAATGAATTTTTTTTCCCATCCAACCTGTTAACACTTGCATTTCTTCTTTAGAGCTGGCAATATAATTGAAAAGTAGTGGTGATGAGAAACACTCAATTGTTCAGCCAATTATTTTCTGCATTTTAATTCACACACCCATGCTGTGTCCCACCCATGCTGTGTTCCCATGGGTGTGTGTGTGAATTAGGTTTGTATAACTGGGGACACAGCATAGGTGTGTTTTTTGCCTGCATATTTTGCGCTAAATGGTGTCCCTCCCTTTGCATCTCCAAAAGGGAAATATGTTTTTTGTTTTGTTTTTTTAACTCTGATCCTTGTACAACTGTGTGTAGCATATACAGGGGGATCTTGAAGATCATGATACCCACCAGTGGTAGAACTACCACCATAACAGTGAAAGCAGTTGATATGGACTTTTTCCATAAGCCTTTTTCAATATTGCAGCCAAACATTGCCTGCAACACTGAGAAGGTTAGTGATGTTGCCTGCTTATAAATGCATCCTGTGCATACTTCATACTTTGAAAAAATTACTAGCAGCAGTTAGTATAAACAATATATTCAGTTTTACATAGGTTGCCTTGCCATGACCATGGAGTTCTGGCTTACCCCTAACTTGTGTGTCATCAGGTTATCTGTTGTGTCGATTAACTGCATAATTGATTAAATGTGGTGAAAAGTTTTATTCACTCATTAACTGCCTATTAAAAATAATATATTTGCTGTCGTAAAAGGCCTTATAAATTGACCAACTACAATTTTAACAGCACACAGCAGAACACCAGATAGTAAATGATAAGTTGCTAATAGATATTAGTTTTAACATTTTTCAGAGCGTTTAGAGATTTAGGGCTGCTCGCACATTTTGAGTTGCCCTGCATTTTACTGCACAGGTTCAACGCAGGTCACTGAAAGAACACATAAAAAACAAAACTGCGCTGCAAAAAAAGGCAAACACGCTGAACTTTATCGCAGCACACTGGATGCCACTGCAAGTCGCCCCATGGCAGCACACCATGCAGCTTTGCAGGGACCTGAATGGAGTCAACACATTGTACACTTCACATAAAAACAAAAAAATGTAAATAATGACAACTCCAGCAGTGTGCGATACAATCTGGAGCTGCTGCAACACACTAGCATGTCTGCTATATCGTAACATTTTAGCAGATGGGATAGTGTGAACGGGTCCTAATAAATTTGAATTGCAGAGGTGTACATGTTTATGCAACTGTACTGCCATTGATCAATAAAGGCTAATTGTTATTTTGGACATTAGAATGATTATTTAATAGGAATTTTGTTTTATTTACATTTTTTTTTAAATCCATTAAAAAAAAGAATACAATCATCAGCTTCATAATTTGAAGGGTGTTTTAGTTTGTATAGAATATACTGCATCTTGTCAACTACAACAAAAACGTGAAGAGTCCCTACAGTATATGGGCCAATTTCGTCAAAAGTTGCTACAGATTCTAGCACGACTTTCAGTAACCAGATAGCGCCAGGGGGCTAGTGTAAATGGGTTAAAATTGCATTGTTTAGCAAAATACTAGAATTCTTTGATTCAGCATTGCTTTAAAAAATTAAATGATCCCTTCATCACAGCCTTACAGTAAAATGACGAGACAACCGGAGAGAATAACCAGAATAATATTTGTGGTTGTCGATTCAGATATTCACAGGCAGATTTCTTATATATGCTCATCATCACTGAGAGATTTGCCTCCTAAATGGGCAGGCGAAAATCCCAGATACTTTTTTTTGGTTTACCTTTTAAATTGTAACTGAAATTTTTGCTGGACTGTTTAAGTGAAATAATAAGGGATCTGCAGGCAATATTAACAGGTAATAAAACTATGTTACAGGGATTTTTCAGAAAAGCAAAAACCTCTGTAGCAATGCCAGTGACTACTGCATCATACTGCATGTACATTTTTTTTATTTTACCTATAGTTACACTTTAAATATTATTTAGATCATATATTTTAAAGCATATGCAAATCGTATTGTTAGGAAATACATGAGGTGGTGCAATACAGGCGGACAAGCTCTGCTCTGTGTCTGAACATCGCAGAAACGTCTGAGCTGTCTGCCTTTATAACCAGTCATTCGGTGCTGCAATGTGTATTGTTCATGGTTTACAAGACTGACAATACAAACTGCACTTGTGGTGAGGATTTCTGGTTAGTATAAAGTTTTCAACACTTGTGTGGGTGTTTACAAGCAAATAATTTTAACAGGCAATAGCCAGGCCATGTGGCTCCTAGGGCCAGGACTGTCTGGTGGCACCAAACGTTTTGTGCTGCAATTAATCCTAAATAACAACATGTTTAGGATGGCAGTTATTAAGGAAAGCTGGCTCTTTTATCAAAGAAAGGGGAGTGGGGGAAGCAGGGACGAAAGAGGACTCATTTTGTTGTTTTTGTTTCAAGTAAACAGTTTCCAGATGGCTAAACTTGTGGTTAGAGGGTATTTTTTGGGAAAGGAGGAGCTGACTCACCTTCTCTCCAAGCTGACCTTTTAATCCCTGGATCATTTACATCATCCGCAGGCACATACAAAAGGGCAAGAGGCAAGATCAGGAAAATTTAAAAGGAAAAGGAAGGGAAAAAAGAGAGAATGTAAACCTTATAGGGATAGAGGAATAATTAGTATTATCTATAAAACATGCAACATTATTGAAACTGAGGGTTAAAGAGACTCACTTTGCCCATTCAGGGTAAATAACAGTCTCTTGCAAGCCCAGCACAGATCCACTTATACTCAACTATGCCCTGCTCCCTGCCACCTGTTCTTGTATTGGAGCTGGGAATTCAAAACCTGTGTTGTGTTGGAGCTTTCAAATGATTGATAATGTAACCCCCTCTCTTTAGTTATGGCATGTGGGCCTGGCAATTACAATTTTGCATTTATGAGACTGAAGCTGGCCATAAATATTAGATGACCACTGAACATGCATACATGCTCAAACCAACACAACAGGTGCAAATGCCAGACAGTGAACAGACACAGTGATCTTAAAAGGAACATGTGCACAAACTATGCGTACTAAAGTATTTACATATTCTGAACACACATTAAAGGCACTGTAAAACATACCCTCATTCACCTTTGTAGTGATATGCATTGTGGAAAAATTAATTTTCAAATTTCACAAAGCAGACACTGAAATCTTAGCTTTTCCCTATTACTTTCTATTGCACCAGACTCTTGGCAGTCTGTCAGCCCTATAATATAAATAATTTGTCTTTGTTTTGAAAATTAATTCCTTCATAGTACAAGCAGCTAGAGGAGGTCAGTGGTGGCTTGTTTCCAAGCTCTTTTTATTGTTAAAATATTACATACTTTTGTTCATAGTATGGGGAAGAGGTGCAGTTTAAAGCTCAATTCCTGGCAGATATAAAACCTCTATGAATAGAGTGAGAAAGAGTTACAAACCAGGTCAGGTTATTTTTTTTTTGTCATCAGTGTTCCCTTGGAGCAGATATCCCTGTTAGAAGATATATTCTCACCTCTGTTTGGTGACAACTCAAACTCTGGATATCCCCTCACTTACAGTGACAATAGTAACTAGGACAAACTGAGGAGTGAATCTCCCAACTGCGGACCCGGACATCAATAAAAACTTAGCACATTCTACCCAAAACTAAAAACAAAGTTTTACTTTTACATACACTTAAGTCCATTTATATACTGTATTTATAAAAAAAATTGTCTGGTTCTAGTGAATAAAAATATGTCATGTGCAGGGTCACATTGCAATCCATTGTATTAAATAAATGTAATTCCATCAAATCACTCATTAAGCTTGGCCCATAACCAGTACCTTTCAGTGGAATTGCATGTGTTCCTCACACACACACATAGAAATGTGTGATGCAGATGTGACCTAGGCACTGGCCTTCTGGCATAATATCATGTGACTTATTCCTAGTGTTCATTACTTAGGCACAAATTAGAAATGTTGGCCCATTCTTTGTTTACCAAATGTTTATATCAACTGAAACTGATTTAATGCAGGTGACAGGATTAGCTGAACTAAGAATGCCAATTAAATCTATTTGACAGGCCTGCAAACACAGACAAAATCAGTGTGATGTCAACATTAGGGTAAGGGTAACCACTTTGGTTCAAAAAGGCTGCACTACCATCAGTGCATTACCTTTTGAAATGTGAAGTCATTTAAGTCTATCATAATAGGACAGTGTGTCTTTCAGACAAGACAGGGGATACATTCAATGAAACATATACATAAATATAAGGTGAGCATCTATCATGCTGCATGCTTTTCATCCTCTGAAAACACAATTAACTTGTTCAGTGATTATTGTGCTGGTGACAACTGGTTTACAGTGGAGCTGCAACCAACAGATCGATTAATCGATAATAATGAAGAATGAGAATTGTTGTCAACTATTCTCTTTATCGATTAGTTGGTTAGATCCCCTAGTGCTCTCCTCCATGCTGGGGGGAAGGCACAGCAAGCAGTGGGCAGGTGCAGTAGCCAGCCTGCTATTGGCTATTGCAATTTGAAATGGCCACTAGCAGGCTGGCCATTGCACCAGCCCACTACCTGCTGTATTTTCACCGAGCAGCTGTCTGCGGAATCTTGCCACTGGCAGCTGTCATTCCCTGGCTGATGCTATTCAAGCACCATGTGCTTACAATGCAATTATTAAAGAAATGTTATAGGTGAGAAAAAAATATTTTCGGTTTCGGCCTGACAAATTCTACTTCTGGAAGTGCGTTGCAGTGCCATCCATTTCAATGGCACCCCAAACACGCCCCCCACCCACAGTGTGATCACCTGCACTGGAATGCACGATACTGCAATTGAAAAAAATTGTGCATGCAGTTTTATTCTGAAGTAAACTTTATGTTTGTAACACTGCATTTGTGTATTTTATTTTAAATTAAGGATGGTATTTGTTTAATTTTTTTATCCGATTACAAAATAAAATACCAATATTAAAAAAAACAATGAGCCAACTAATCGATTATGAAAATAATCATTAGTTGCAGCCCTAGTTTACAATACAGATGAGCTGTGATGACTTTGAACCACAATTAAACACAAAGTGGTTAAACTGCTTGACCAATACATGCCAAATCTGTCTTACAAAATGTGCCTTGGTACCAGCATAAATGTGGCCATAAAAGATTAAAGCTGTGTAGGTGTTTTTTTTTTATTTTTTTTTACAAAAGTTGCCAAGTGGGAATCCTCTTACAGAACCACCTAACTAGGACATGTAGCCCTGGAAATAAAAACTTTGCAGATAACATGTTATGTCTAAGCATGTACACATGTAGGTAAAAACTAAACTGACTGATAATTGTAGCGTAAGCATGACATTTTTTTTGTGCTAGAATTTTATAAATATCCGAGTAACCTCATCCACACATATTTAAACCTAACTAGCTAATTATGTGTTATCTGATTGTACCAGTTCTGGAACATGTAAAGCCAATTAATTATTTTTAAACCCTTGTTCAATCAAAAAAACATGATGCATTCAATTCCTTATTTCAAATATATAGTTGAAACCAGTGTTAAAATCTGGGACAAATCAGACCACACATGTACTACAGCCGTTATTTACTATGGTTACAATCCTTTTATGTAAAGGTTTTACCACTGTTGCCCTCAATATCATGGATTTTGGCAAGCAATAAACACAGCATGAAATATTTGAATTGTTGACTGAATACATCATACAATTTAGCAATAATGATATCATAAGAAACACCAGCATGGATTTATGAAAGGCCGTTCTTGTCAGACCAACCTGTCAACATTTTATGAGGAAGTGAGTAGGAATTTAGATAAAGAAATGCCAGTGAATGTCGTTTATCTGGATTTTGCTAAGGCATTCAACACTATCTCATACACATTTATTTACAAAATGAGGTCTACTGGTGTAGAAGAAATTGTATGTACATGGATAGAAAATTGGTTACACAAATGTTTCCAGAGAGTAGTGATAAATGACTTTCTAAATGGATTAAGGTTGTGAGACATGTGCCCCAGGTCTCTGCCGTGAGGCCAATGCTGTTTAACTGGTTTATTAACCCCTTCATGACTGAGGCCCTTTTTTCCATTTTTGCACCCATGTTATATTCCACATTTTAGGCCTGAACTGATGTTGGAACTAAGAGTTTAATTTCTGTGTTTGATGTTGATACCAAATTATGCAGGCAAATCAATTCAGCAAAGGAAGACCTAGATAATATAGGGGGGCAGCTACATTGCAATTGAGGTTCAATATTGTAAAATGTAAAGATAGGCACTTGTGCTCTAAAATTATTTAGGCAACATTCACTTTCGGATGGACTCCTCTTGATGAATCTGTGATAGCAAAGGATTTCAGGGTCCTTGAAGATCACATTGGTCACTGTCAGAATAGCTGAACAGGGCCAGCAGCTCATTGACTGCACGCTTTGTCCGTTTGTCCGAAGATTTTCCAAATGGCTCCTTCGATCAGCTGAACGAGGGATCCTGACTGAAGGGTTAATCAAGAACCAGCTGAAATTCGCACAGCGTAAGGCGAGTTTAAGCCTTCATGATTGAAAGAACTGAAATAGAATGAATGAAAAGGGTAGGCTAGGGACAGTAAAGTTTGGGGAAAAAGAGCAAGATGTTGCTGGTTGTCCCCAAGCCAGGAAATGAGGTGGGCTCCATCTGATTTGCTGCAGGCTGTATGACACACTGTGTGAAGCTCACAGTGTTCAGAGAGATCAAATTAAGCAATTCCAGTCCTGGAGAGGAGGCTGTACAACTGAACAATAATAAAGGTAAGGGTGGAGTTCAAATTTAAAGCCAAAATAATGATTTTACTGAAAGCAAAATTACCTTGAATCCATTAAATCATCATTTTTGTGTCTCATCACCTTGTAAGAACAACTGTCTTAGTGTTACCGAAGCAAAATGTTAATTTTATTAGGCAGATGACCCGCACAAGCCAAAAACTGTAGAATTAATTGAGTCAAAGTTACTGTTAGTAATATGTCAGATCCTATAATGACTAAAATAATGTTATACTTAGATTTTGGCCGGGAAGGGTTTATATTAATTAAAATGACAAACTTAAAATAACAAGCTGCTAAGAAATAAAATATTCCAGTACAGCACGAATATGGAACACTGAAATATTTTGTTGCAATAAAAGCCAAATTTAATTATCAGATATGAATATCCGGACCTAGTTCTGATTTTGCCAGAGATAAATCAAAAGTCTGGCTGGAGAATGTAGGTTTTCTTTCACATTCACCCATGTTTTCTCATGTTTAGTAGGAAATATGCTTTCTTTAGCAGTGGGGTCCCCGATGCCTGTCTATATCTCCAGCCTACTATAAAAGTTCATGACACCAGTATTAAGGAAAAGTCAACATGTTTTCCCTCGTTCCCAAGGAAGAGAAGGCATTTTGATGCGGGTCTCAATTTCCTCATTGTGATGGTGGGATTCGGACAAGTAAATTAAGCCTAATGCGGTTCAGAGGGTTATCCTTCACAAAGACGCACATTACATGCCGCTAAAGAAAACAGCAAGTTCCAACCACTACCTAACATAAAACATGAGCGTTACGTTTCCTATTACCAGTCATGTAAAAGTGTCAGCTTTTTTCAGGATGTTTTATGGTAAAGCTTGTATTATATGCTATGCAAGTTGGATAATTCAAAGGAAAATTCCAAAAGCCACAGTGAACATAGGATACCAAAACAAGCTAACATTCAAAACTGCAAGCATCATGTTACTAGGGAGGGCTGGCAAGGGGAGCAGTGGGGAATTGGCCTCCTTGGCCCACATAGTCTCCACATATGTGGCCCCAACATAACAATACATGTCCTCTAATGCCTTAGTCTGTGAATTTACCTGTGATTATTATTTGCATAAAGCACTTTTAAAATTACTAAGTAGCTTTGCAGGTTTCCCCATAATTAAAGGCATACATAACGCCAGTTATTTTATGGTCATGTCTCCAAGGGTACAATTCCCATTTTCCAATTAAACAGATGGTATAGTGGTGTTGCTAATCACAACCAAGGACATGTGCCTGTATTTTTTATCTTGCCATAAGACATGAGATGGGATTTGATTGGTTTTTGTTGAAAACAATAAAACGTTTACCTATAACCCAACTGACTTTTCCAATGAAATTAGCTAAATTCATTCCAGGTGCATCAAAACAAAAGGCCACAAGGTCCTAAAGTTAATGTTCATTAGAAATTAGAAAAGTCTGTCCTCTGCCAGCATGCTATAGAGAAGTACCTTTGCCCTCTATGTGGAAGCAGTGGTTTTTCTGCAGAGGTCTGGCATGCCACTGCTGAGTTAGACCTATATCTCTGAAATTAATAAAGCTCATGCCCATGATTGAACAGTTCTCTATAGCATGCTGGCAGAGGACAGGCTTTTCTACTTAAGTTGATACTGCGCTCTAAAGAAAACAAACGGTAAGACTTTAAACATATTTTTTTTGTTGCACCTGGAATATATTTAAATTGAAGCTTCATTCAGGCTTTATTTCAGTTTCTATACATCAGGCCCACTGTATCATTCAGAATCCATATAAAATGTAAGCGTTCGATCCAACGACTCCAATACAGATTTAATGAATGTAAGCATGTAATGAGCTCCTGTGTATGTTAGCAGCTAGTTTGAATATTGCCAGCCCTCCCTTGAACATGTGCAATTTCACAGCCTCCACACAGAATGATGCAAAGACTATAACTCACCATCCGTCCTGGCATTCCGAGACCACCTTTATCACCCTGATGATCAATAGAAATCACGTGAGCTTTCACAATTCATATTCTAGCTGGGTGAATTGTGCAGAAATATGAAGGAAACAAAAGATTTCTGCATAACTGTTTTGATATTTGCTAAACCAACCTACCTGACATATAACACATTAAGATTTTAACATACATAAAGTTATGGCATTATAGTAATACTGGATATATGCATGAAGAGGTAGTTTCCACTTTTGTCCTACATTTTACCACTGTATCTCATGATCATGTTTCCCCTTGCAATACTTTGTTATAACTAAGGGCCTAGTTAACTATAACTAAGGGGTCTAGATAAAGGCTAAGAAGGTGAAAAATGATTCAGACCTATACCCAAGTATGGGTATGAGTACTTCAATGCATGTTGTTGGATGTTGATGCTACACACCATGTTCTTCCACTTCTCAGACTGTCTTATATACTGTACGTCTACAGCCCTGTTCTGATGTGTACCACCACAGTAATAGCCCAATTCCTTACTAAAATGTTTTTTTTTTTTTTAAGCATGTAATTTTTATTGAGTTTTTATTGCAGATACATATGAAAAAGACATCATAGTAACCCGGTACATGCACAGTATATTAGGGATCAGGTGTTATACACGGTTACCAATTTATGCAGGTCAACAAAGAAGATAAACAACTATGACATCCTCAAAAGGTCATTATAGCCACCATTTAACAAACCATAAACTAAGTGGTAGTTCACAAAGAGAGAGAAGAGAACATTCACGTAGACAAACATATAATGCGTCATCGTAGGGTTCGAAAGGGCCTATTGTAGGAGTGCACCAGAGAGGGGTGGATCAACATTGAAGATGGGACAATGGGACAATCTGTATGTCAAGGATCGAGGCACGTCGGACATTGGAATATAACAAGAAAAGAGAACAGGTTCTCCACCATCTTGGTTCACAAGTAATCAGCGCAGCAGCGCAGTACCCGGTGGGAGGGTATCGATAGCAATGGGATTATAAGACATCTAAAGCTCCCAAGGAGCCGTCTAATTTGGCTATATCGTACCATTTGGAGGATCGGAAGGGCAGCATAATGTCCCTAAGTTGATCTAGGGACAGTGTTGTGGTGAGGAAAGTTGACCATGTATGAAAAAATTGCCCTGTTCTTTTTTCATTATGTAGGGAATCAGATTTGTCCAAGAGCATGAGCCTATGAAGGGTGTTGGACAATTCCATCACCGTTGGGATGGCAGGGAGCAGCCAATTGGTGAGGATGGTTTTCTTGGAAGCCAACAAGCAAAGATGTTCCCAGCGGGAAATTGGAGGGACAGTCATCAAGGGATCTTGGGGTACATCATGCAGTAAACATAGGGATGGTAGGGGTTCCCTCTCCTCTCCTCACCAGAGTTCATATAGTCCACAACCCGTTGCCAGAGAGTAGCTATCTTAGGGCAAGACCACATCAGGTGAATTAAGTCAGGGTGGTGAATGTTACATTTGGGACAGTGCTGCAGCCATTCAGGTGAAGCGGACGTAGGAACGAAATTAAAGGCGTAGTAGGCTCGGTGGAACAATTTAAATTGGAGTTCACGCCAGGATTCACATATGACATGTTTCCTGATTTGCTGCCACCCCTTCAGGATACTAGCATATGTGTCTTCCAGGGATTGGCCTATAAGCTGGGCCCACAATTGTACAAAGGGTGGTATGAAACTATCTGGTTGTTGATGACTATCCCGAAGGATAAGGTAAAGATTAGACAGGCATAGCCTGGAGGTTGCGGGGGTCATTATTTGTTGGTAGGCTTGAGGGGAGGAGGTGCAGCCTGGTGGGGGATAGTGGGTGCGTAGGAAGTGCGAGATCTGGGCATATTGTAGGAAGTGGGATGGAGCAATGTGATATTTAGAGATCAGGTCATTGAAGGTCATGCAGTCTCCGTGGGGCGTGAGTACATCTTGTAGAGTATTAATGCCTAATGTGGACCATGTCTTGAAGACCAGGGAGTCAGCCCCCATGGGGAAGGCCGGGGAAGATGCTATAGGCATCCACGGGGAGATAGTGCCCGGCATGTGGAACAGCTTTCTGACTTCCCTCCATGCGATTACTGTGTCCTTTATGAGGACATGTGCTTTCAAGTGAGGAGGCAGGGAGTGTAGGGAGGAGTGAAGGGTGCCAAAAATGTTTTTATAACGAAGATGTATATTTCATGTCCTGAAATGACCTAATATGATCTATTTTAAATGTTAAAACTTACACAATAGTAGTGCCTTTACATCTAATGTATTTGAATAGAATATATTGTTTAAAATTGTGTTTTGTGCATTTGTATATAGCATGCTTGTCTATCTCTATATCTCGGCACCACATGGTCTTAATTCTTCCTTAATTGTCTATGTACAACAGTGTACAAATCACATGTAACAACTAACAGACGTTTATTCTTTGAAATCAATGTGCCTTCAGGGATGTCTTTTTTGCTTATTTTCTATGGTTGCCTGTATAAAGATTAGTTATGGGCTATGTGGGACAATATCAACCAGAGATTTAATTTGGCCGCACACTACATAACAGTAATGTCACCAGAAATGTCACATGTCACTTAGACTAGTCAGGATATGTAGGGTTTAATGAACAAGCAACAATGCATTTTCTATGACAGAAAAGTAAACCCGGGGTGATCATCACCAAAATCTACTGGCTGGAATTCATACTGTTCAAGTGTACAAACCATTCAGAAAAATTATGCTTGAAAAATAATTGATCACTACAGAAAATAATAATTTGTCACAAAATAATTTCCTGTGCATTGTCAACTTTACTCATAGGAACATAATTTCCTTCATGATTTTTGGGAGGCTAGAGATGAATAAGCCCACCAACATCCATCAAAGACTGAAAAATCAAGGTTTCAATTGGCTTACACAGCATGATCTATAAAGCAAAACTGTTTTAAATAACCTCTGAGAACTTGTGAGGCCTAGTGGGATGTTACCCACAGCTGACATATCAGAGACTTATTAATGGTCTATTTTACCGAGATGCGTTTAGTACAGCGACAGCTTTCCTTACATCATTTCTAACACATTTCTGTATCAATGTAATTTTATTTATTGAGGATGACATTCATTCATGCTACATTCTTAAAGGAAGAGAAAAGCATCAGTTAAAAGCTTGGAACACTGAAGAGAGTTTTCTAAAAAATCCATGTTTACTACTTATACTAACTCTCAGACATTACAGCATTAGAGAACACTTTGCGTTTGAAAACAGACAGGGCTCCAGACATATGCAGAGAAGTGGAAAGACAGAAACAGATCAGAGAAAATAGGATAAGAGTTCAGGCAGGAAAATTAAAATATTTGGGGGTCATATAAATAAAGGTTTAGGAAAACATACAAAGACATCAAGGTTTGAGATACCAGATGTAGTGTGGATTTTATATATTAAAATATAATTTAAAGTGGAAGTGTTTTTTTTTTTCGTTTTGGCTGGAGAAGGGAAGGACAACCTCTGTTTTTTCTAATTATTCTCTGTATTCCCTTACTTTCTGTTTTAGTAACAGCAGTAGAGCAAAAAAACAAGTTTTAAAAATAAATTTAAAAAAAAAAGAAAGATCCCCTTTACTATTTTAAGGAAGTGAAAATAAAGTAGTCTTTTTGTCCCTCTGTGTCTCATGTATTCACCCTCAAGCATCCCAGGTGGCCTTGATTATCTATTTATAATGCATGATGTGTCATTGTAGTAAAAGCTTGAAACAAAAACACAGTAACATATTTTAATATTGCCATAAAACAAAGGCACAGCGCCCAGACTATCTGAAGAATCTCTTTATTAAATAGAATAGATAAAATCAATGATCATACTCACAAAAGTACATCAGGCTGAGCATAAAACCTGTGAAATTTCGTTCCAGCAGGAGCTGGCTGAACGGACAGCACTTGGACTATTTACTACAGAACCTGTGTATGCACCCCTGCTGAAACGAAATGTCGGAGGTTTTATGCTCAGCCTGATGTACTTTTGTGAGTATGAGCATTGATTTCTTTCTATTCTATTTAATTAAGCGATCCTTCACATAGAGTGGGTGCTCTGTGCCTTTGTTGTACGGTTCTATCTAAAGGTTCCCTGGTCCTTATTGAGGAGCAGCACTCTGTGTGATGGGTGATTTCTAGATGGTGAAGATCGTTAGCTACAACTTGTGCCGGGAATGGAATTTATTTTAATATTGTATTATATTACACACATTGCTCTGTGGCATGACATTTATGAATACTATATGATGTTTATAAAAGTAAAACTTTACATTTCCCAAAACTATATAATTACAAGGCAAACATGCGTCTGTGATCTGCGGTGTTCCTTGGACTACACAAAGCAGCCAGTTGATTTTCATAGAGATTTAATGGGGTAAGTGCAGTGCTGCATTCTTGGAGAATTCACACTGCAATTTTTAATAACTTATCCATGTAACAGAAAAAGGCCATGTCTTACAGTTCTTTGTGGAGGAGGTAGAAGTAATAGGCAGGTATGTACATAACCCCACTTCACACTCCTATACCCCCTTTCTGGTAGCCATGATAATGCACATTTCCCAGGCCAGTGAATAAGGGAGGGGTTTTCTTTTTTAGCCATCCTCTTAAAGTAGCAGCCTTATCCTGAACCGTACTTAGATCGTTATGGACAAAGCAGGGGGCTGGCATGCTCATGGATCTCTTGCTGTGGGAATACCGGCATGTATTAGAGCTGAAACAATGCTTGTGCTAAATAACTTTCATATACAGTATATGACATATAATATGAGGTGATTGATGGTGTGCCCACATATTAACATCCAAGAAATTCAATTAACCCTCTATACACCTTTACATGTGTGCAAACATTTGCATAACAACACGGATTCTTAATATTTAAAAGTTACAACAGAAACACTGATGCCCTTTAAGTCTGTTTACTCAGCAGCTCAGTTCTCTCTGCTCCCTTCTGCAAACAGTGACTCAGCAGTCTTCCAATAAAATAATCCTGCAATAAAATGATAAATGCACACTTTTTTTCTTTTATGAAGTGTGCATTTATTATTCTTTTTCTAAAAGGTGGACTTTGCCTTTAAGTGACTTTAGTCCTTCTGTTGTAAACTTTGAGGATGAGTTGCGCCAGAGTGCCTTCAGTTACAGGAGTTAGTAAGGGCTTGGTTTACTGCTTTTTAGGAATAAGTAAATATCTGAATGTCCATAGCCAGACCACATTTGTTTGCCCAGTTGTAGTGATTCAGTGAGGTACATTTTAATTTACTGCATTTCCCTTTATCTTGTCAAAAACTATTTACAATTATTTATTTTACTATTCTACAGTCGGACATTAGTGTGCTAATGTAGTACATTTTCCTGTAGCATCCATTATTTCAAAGTAAAGGAAGAGAATGAATGTCTCATGTCAGAACCTAATTTATCTAGAATGTTCCAGTATGATGTTCAAGCAGAACTCGTGCATTGCTTTGATAACATTGTATTAATTGTTCCTACGCTTGAAATTGGCTGCCCATCAAAGCATTACACACTTGTAAAAACACAGACATGCAATGAGTGAATGACAATTTCTGAAACAAAAACAAAACATAAAATAATGGAAGTCCAGGATACCAGCATGTTCCTTCTGATGAGATACTTTCCACCATTCCTGGACAAGAACATCTGGCTAGCTTTGCATACATCTTTGCAACCCTTTCGTGCCACTTAATGTTTTCCTGTTTGTTGTTCTCTGTTCTTTAATGTAGCAATACAGGCATGACAACCGTTTAAACAAACAGGTTATTTTCTCTGATGCATTTATGTTAACAAGTTTGTTGTCCCGTTGGGGCTTTTTATTAACATGTCATGCTCCAAGTTAGAGTTCCAAGTTATACAGGCATTTGATATTCAGACCAGTAAACTGCTTCCTTTTCTCATAAAAGCATGTTTAACGGGATGTTACAAGTCTGTAAAATTGTAAAAACATTGTATCCGTCCACCCTCAATGATAATTGAAATGTGGAGGTTATCTTGCGATAATAGTTACCCAAGTAAAAGACAAAATGATAAATTAATCTGAAAGAATATGATGGAGTTCTAAATGAATCAGGAAATCTTACTTCCTCCACACAGATAATGTAATTGTGTATTATTTTGCCATTCATGAGTTAATATAAGATCTTGTGTGTATGTGGATACAGTATTATCTGCAAACAGAAAAACACACATATATAGAAAATCATTTTCTGTTCAGCAAGTTGATTTTCCATCACAATAAATCTCATCATGGAGATTTAGGTGTCATTCTTAAGTGTTTTCCTATGTGTCCCTGACCCATTACTTAGACTGAAACTGGTCATACACTGATATATATATTTTTCATTCAAACAGCAGGTGTGCCACAATATCCAAACAGTGATGACAGCTAATTGGTTGCTGTCTCTGTTTGCTCTAACAGTTTCTGACTGGCTCCTTCAATTCTCTGATCAAAGAATGCCAGATAAAAGGTGTCGACAGGGCTACCCACTGAACGAATTTGAGCTGGTTCATCAAGAATCATTCACACAGTGTATGGCCAGCTTAACTCTTAAATTGACTCTAAAGCGTAATCCTCCTCTCTCCTAAACCCTAAAATGTTGCCTAATTATCCATTAGGACTTAGACTTTATCTAAAGCCAACAATTTTGTTTTGTTTAAGGCAGAGTAGGGAAGGGTTAAAACTCATAATACTATATTATTTGCTGCCTGTGTTCCACTGTGGAGATTTCCCTTAACTTCCTGTCCTGGAAGCCCAACAGGAAATATAAGGAAATCTCTCCAAAGTGAACAGAATTCCCATCTTAGACAGCTGGTATTGGAACAGGTGTCCCCACTGGTGGATTTAATTTCACTTGTTCTGATAACAACTCTAAATTATTGGATTTCTCATCCCTTTTTTTCTCAGGTCACCAGGACAATTAGAGAGGAGGATCTCTCCAGTGGGGACACATAGACAGTAATGAAAACTGACAGAGGGTCATACTTTTCCCACTCCATGAAAAAATGTTGCCTTTACATTAGGGATGCACTGATACAAGCATCGGTATCGGCCGCGATACCGAGTATTTGCATGGGTACTCATACTCGTGCAAATGCTCTGATGTCTAAAACGAGTACCTGTGTCCGTCATCTTCCACCGCCGCACACAGCACACAGGACCGCGTCTGCATTCATGCAAGATGGCCGCGAACTCCTTCTCCACGGGCGAACGGCCGAAACCAGACTCCGCCTTCAATTCCTCTGTCCTCACTCGTGATTGGTGGGGAAGCCTGTCAATCATCCAATTGACCAATCAGCGTGAGAAGAGGCAATTCCTCTGTCCTCACTCGTGATTGGTGGGGAAGCCTGTCAATCATCCAATCGGCCAATCAGCGTAAGAAGAGGCCGGCATTGACAGATGACTAGGCTGTGACACGAGGGGATGAAGCAGACGGAGACGACGGAGAAGAAGGTTAGCAGCACTGCTGGGGTTGGGCACAGGATGGGGGGTGGGCACAGGATGGCCTCAAACATTATATTTGCCTTCTGTAGGTTTATACATTTTAAAAAAATGCACTACTGCTTGCTATTCTTTTTAACTAAGCCTTGTATCCCCATATGGTGGAAAATGGATGAGGCTGAGCACATGTCAAGGCCCGAACACTGTAGTGCATAATGCATACATATAGTGTGGAACAGTTATATTTATTTCTGCATACCTGGCTGTATATTACATTTTTTAATGTATAATATACAGCCAGGTATGCAGAATTAGATATAACTGTGCCACACTACAGGTGTGGGCTGGGGACAGGATGGCATAAAAAAAGTTATATCTGCCCTTTAAGAAAAAGTATCGGTAATTGGTATCGGCGAGTACGAAAAAAAAGTATCGGTACTCGTACTCAGACCCAAAAAAGTGGTATCGGTGCATCCCTACTTTACATAGATGTTAAGCTCCTTAAAGTAACATCTCTCTGCAAGTCAAGTCTTCAACTCTGCCCATTCCACAGTCATTACCTTTCTGCTCAATCATCCATTGTCATTGGGGCAGTGCAGACTATAAGGTCACAGCCACAGATGGTTTATAAGCAGCATGTGTGGTCTTCATAGGGGAATTGCTTATCTGATTGAACTAAGTTGGATGGTGTTAAAATGCGCCCCAGGTCCATTGATGGGGCAGTGCAGGGCAAAAAGTGTACAAAAACCATTGTGCTGCTTTAAAATCGGTCTATGGGGTACCCCTCCATATTACTAAATAATGTGAAAAGCAGACAGGGATTTTTGGTGTAATGCACAATTTAAAAAAAATATTCATTCTTTGTCTCAGGATTAATTCATAAATAGAATGTAAAATTTGTATATTAAACAAAAGAAGTAAAGGAAAAACTGCAGTGCATAGATTTTTAGATTTGATAAATGAAACTGTAGTTTAACAGGCCAACAATAAATACATATTTTACAAACCGCCTGAGGAAAAAATGTTAGGTAGGAAGTATTTTAGGAAAAAATTATATGCATAAGACATTTGTCTACACAATTTTCCAGCCCACAGGCATGTTTTTAGATACTTAATAGTGTATGTTTAAAATACACTATTATCTGTATTCACTTACCACATGTGCATCTTTTATGGAAACTTATGCAGATCTTTTATATAATTTATTTACTTCTATTTACTTATTTTACAATTATCTTTTACTTGTATTGATTCTAAAAATACTGCCACACTACCTAAAAATGTATGTACATTATCTATAGAATTGATTACATTATTTCCACACTGTGTTAATAAATGTTTCATTTTGTGAAGTAGTTACTTACATTCCTGTACACCATACTCCATTCACAAATGCCATGTCACAATACATTTGTATACAGGTGAAACTCGAATAATTAGAATATCGTGCAAAAGTAATTGCAGTAAGTGTTGCAAAAGGGGCCCAAACCAAGTACTGAGTACATATGCATGCTTGTACTTTTCAGAGGTCTGATATTGTTCTATGTACAATCCTTATTTTATTGATTGCATGTAATAATCTACTTTTTTGAGGTTGTGGATTTGGGGTTCTTGGGGTTTTCATGAGCTGTAAGCAATAATCATCACAATTATGACAAATCACGGCTTGAATTATCTTGCTTTGCAGGTAATGAGTCTATCTCATATATTAGTTTCACCTTTTAAGTTGCATTAGTGAAATAAATGAACTTTGCACGATATTCTAATTATTCAAGTTTCACCTGTATTCTACAATACTGACATAGGATTGTTATCAAGTTCAACCTATTTTTGCAATGACACACAATGCTTATAAATACATGTCCAAGGTCACACAGAAATATAGGTCATAATATGAGACTTTTTAAAGCACTTTTACCACTACTTTGCTTTGATCTGCACAGTGTTCAAATAGAACAGTGGCTATATACAAGGCAAGTATAAGTCATGAGTAATCAAGAGCAAAATATCCTGCAAAAAACAATATGAAAGATAAAAAGGGTGCTTACCGGAATACCAGGGCGTCCACCAGGTCCCTGAAACAAAAGCAAATGGTTTATTACAGGATCTTACAGCAAAAATAAATTAACAGTCGTGGTATAATAAAGAGAACAATCAATTCATGAATATAAAATAGAAAAATATTGACAGATTTTGACAATTCTCCAATGTCTTTATGCTCCACTTGATCAGTGCCACATATCTTAAATAATATCAAAAGCTCTGCTGCTGGTACAAATTACAATTAAAAGAACAAATGAAATTTTGGATTGCAACTAATTAAAAGCAAACCTGAAACCACGTCAAAGAAACATAAGTAATGTTTGAGTAAAAGGCAGTCAAGTGTGCCCTACCCTACCTTGGCAGCAATTGCCTGTCTTCCCAATGTGCTACTCAGGCCACTAGTAAAAACTCATACTTCTGGATATGTGGCAATCCCTCTCCTACCACCCACCTCCTAAAATCTAGTGTTCTGTGTCTATGCAACTGCTCTGTAGCCCTGAGATCATATGGGGGGTGCTTGGCCTTTTACCTAAAGAAAATCAGTATTTGCATTGGATCTTTAATGGCTCTATTGTCACAATAAGGAGCAGACATTGAAACTGTCACAAGTCAGATCTATTGATTGGGAAGTGAGCGAAAATCTACCGGTGCTTGCTCATTTCCCGATCATCTCCCTCATTTCCCTGTTCATCTCCCTCGCTACAGGGCATAGAGAGGCAGAGTCAGCTGTCAATCAGCCAGCGGGATGGATCTCGACAGTATTGATGGCTGCGGCACTCTCAGCATATACTGAGTTTTGGGTCACGGAAGGACATTAGTACATGTCCTCCCATGACCATAAAGAGAAATATGGGAAAAAAAGGTAACCCCACAGTTCTCCTTTAAGGTTTAATGGGGGTATCTGCCTGTGTGCTCTATAAATCAAGAGTTACTTGCCTTTTCTTGAGTTGGTTACAGGACTGAATGATCAGCAAATCAGGAATTCTCTTACACAAACCCCTTTATTGAAGGGCCACAACAGGACACAACCCAGATACCTATGCATTAACAAAATTGATTGTGGCAATATACTTTAGGTTTCATTAAGTAGGTTTGCAAACCTTCATTAAAGATACTTTTATTGTATATAGACTTTTTCAATTAAATACATTTAATTGTAAAGTTACTTGGACTATGCACTCAGCATTGGCACCAATGGTTTTGCAGTTTGGTAAGGTGAGCTATCATAATTTTGTATCAGCACATGCCACCTTCAGTGTCAGGAGGATGTTAGACCCAAACATTGGTGCTCTGGTGTCTCATGATCCTCAAATGCTTTTAAACTCCAGACCTTGTTTTTTCTTGCTTTGAACAGAGCTGTCTTTGCCCCCCCCCCAACTACCATTGCTGCCCAATAGCAGGCACTATAAAGGTGTCAGATAATATATTTACATATCTGAAACAAATACTGACTTTCTGAAAGTTGGAGTTTGCATAGGAATAGGTATACTCTGCCAATTCTACTTGGTAAAGCTTGGATCTGGCAGTAAGTTGCACTAAACACACTGGTGGGTATAGAAAGTGCTATCAGCTATCCCCACATCAGAAGTTAAGAATTTGGGGGGCAAGGGAGGCACTGTGGAGATTTTGAATGCAACAGTAATGTATGATCCCCTAGTCATAAGTTCATTTATTTCACTAATGCAACTTAAAAGGTGAAACTAATATACGAGATAGACTCATTACCTGCAAAGCAAGATAATTCAAGCCGTGATTTGTCATAATTGTGATGATTATGGCTTACAGCAATGTTAGTTTATATGTATTACCAGAGCACCCAGGGATCTAACTCTTCCCAGCTCCTTCATAACAAAATCAAAAGGTCTTGCTCGAGTTGGGCTTAAAGAGAGTATGAGTTGAATATCTGATTTGTATGAGCATTAACTTTACCTTTCATGTGTGAGTTTTTTTTTTAACTTGTACTCATCAGTTGAATGGGTAAGAGGTCCAAATGATCCCTTAGTTTATCAGGGGCAATGGCATAAACTGCATCCACAGGTTTCAGATGGGTTGGACCTGGAGATGAGTTGGAGATGAGTAACCTGCTGCATACTTCTCCTCATGGGATATTGAAGTTGCAGAACAGCCAGGTGCCTGTTAGTTGGAGAACAGCCAGGTGCCTGTTAGCACTGGGGTGGTACCTTCAAGTCATTCCTTATAATATTCATAACACTATGAATCTAAAATGATGGCACTGAATAACAGTGGCAGTGAACCATGTGGATCAGATTGGATTGCAGAAGCATTTTGGGCAAAATGCCAGTGGAGTAGAACAGTGTTGTGAATCAGCGTTAAAACTATATATTACAGGTGTGCAATCACTGCACTGCTTTTCATTCTGTAAGGTGTGCTAATAGAGATATCCATGTCACTTTTGTGATATAATATCCCCATTGCGTTGCACAGTGAGAAAAGACTTTATGAAATTATATACACCAAGCAGCAATAAAATTATGGCTTTCTTAAACGTATTCAAGACTTTTTTTCTGCCAAAGCTGTCAGGCAAGATGTATAATTATGTACATCTATAACCAGTCTTCATGGGTTTATTTCATTTCAGAGTGTCAATCTGTGTTTTTCAGACACAGCGGTTTATAGGAAAAGATTGACATGTTCATTATCTGGAGCTTTTCTTCTTTCAGCCACCTCTGACCCTTATAAATCAGTTACCAGCAGGAACACGGTAGAGAGAGTTACAAGAAGAGATTTCAGTTACTTACAGGTGGTCCTGGAAAAGAACAGAGAAGATGAAGGAATATTAATTATGGGTTATTACAATAAACATAATGTAACAAGCAACATATAAAATATGATCCATTTATCCGTTAGTGATTATAAAATTTGTTTAACAGTAAATCTCCAAAGCTGAAATCATCATCTTCAGTGAACTGTGTGCAAAATGATGAGATTATTGTGTCTATATAGACCTTTTGACAGATACTACATTTTTCAGTTGTTAGTATCTCATGATCCTCAAATGCTTTTAAAGGAGTTGCAGGTGAAATTTGGGGCTATATGATTAATATGGAACATACAGTACTGATCCCCCAATGATCTGATAAAGTGATTTGGGACCCCTTATCGTTTCACCCATCACAATTAAAGGTCAAAAGTGGAACTCCAGACCTTGTTTTTTCTTGCTTTGAACAGAGCTGTCTTTGCCCCCCTTTGCCCCCCCCCCCGAAAAATTTTCTTTCACTTCCTGCCACCAAAACAAGAAATTAGGGAATTTTCTCCATTGGGGTCTCAGAAAGCATTAAAGGAGAACTATGAGATGAGTGATTTCCATATAGTTCTACAGTCTAGCTGCTATAATCATTATTTACCTAGATGAATTAAGTCAATCATTGCTAATCAGTGCTATGGTGTAAAAAAGTACTGTGTGCTACTACTGTGTGATACTACATTTTTCAGTTGTTAGTAAACTAGCATCTCCCTATTAAAAGTAAGGAACGTTTGAAGAAAGCTTAGAAAAATATAACAATATAATGTGACTTTAAAAATATAGGTGCACTTTGTTTATGCCCCCTCCTTCATTTCCTTTTCCTCTGGTCTCCAGTCACTCTAACAGCCAACTGCCTAAGGCACAGGGGTAGATGACATCATTGGTCTCAAGGAGGAGTCCAACATTTGAGCTGTCAAGTTAGCAGCCTCATATTAGCTTTCTTGTTCCCTACAAAATAAGAGTACTTTTAGTGACACCACAGCGTGGGACCTGGTTTGCATCGCAGTGCCAAGTAATGCACCCAGAACATGGCTGTGTGCTCTGTTCCTGCAGAATCCTGGCTCGAGAAGCTGATACTGATGTCATCAACCAGGTCTTTGGTGCAGAGTGATCTGCCCTCTACAGCCCCCCTGAGTTCCACAAGGTGAAGCAGCTGTGGTGCTTCACCTTGTGGCACATACTGAAGACGGTGTAGACTCTATGGCATGGCAGGGTCGTGATTTCTTTGTCACATGGCCGCAATCAATCAGTAGACCTAGAAACTATATAGATCAAGTCTGCTGGGTTTTGTTTCTTAATTTTAACACCGCATACTAAAGGTGGTTTCTTTTCCAATTCTCCTTTAATTTGAATTTTGAAAAAACATGTAAGTAACAATAGTTTCATTACTTTAATATAAGGCACATCAAACATGACTACATATGTACACATGTTGAAGAATGATATGACTCAATCAAGACCATGCAATATATACCACAAACAGCACTGACACGATTAATGAAGTAAACTTGTTTCTTTAGGCAATGTTCTATCATTTAATAGAGTTTTTATTCAAAAGACAGAGAGCAAAATACCATTTCACAACTGACTGCAGGATTATACCATGCTTCTCTCTTGCATGTTCCCATAAATGTGCACATTTCTAAGAAAAAAGCCATGTTTTGTTATATTTATTGTGTTGATATAGTGTAGACCTTTATTACCGACTTTTGATTATGTGATTGCAAAACAATCACCCAAATGAGCGATCATTTCTGTCAAGCAACTTTGTTCTGGGGATCAATCACTTTTTAAAAGAAGGTAGGGGTCATCTTCTGTACCTAGAATTGTGTAACATCATGGAAAGAACAAACTCCAGGTGACTAATCACAGTTGGCCATTCAACTACTACTACTTGCAATTCAACTGATTTGGAGCATGACTGTGCAACTAAAACTGAATTGACATTTTAGTTGCACAAATGCATAATCACAAATCGCTCTTATAGCTCTAGCCATATTCTTGCCCACAAACTGTACAAGTCCACTTTCATTGTTAAACGAACACTAGAGCCTATTTACATCTGTATGGTGCATTAATGCACATTATGCCACAACTCAGCCAGCATACCACAACACATAGAACAAAGGGTAGCCCAGTGCACAAAAACACATTAAAGTGATATTGCACCTTCATTTTTTTTCTTTTTATTACATTAATTCACACTTACATTAATTCACTGTTCTTTTTTAAAGTTTTTCATATCCTCTCCCTCTAGCTGGACCCCAACCACTAGCCCCCAAGGCCTGTTTGTCTCCTCACCAGCTAGCTAGCTGGTGAGGAGGCACCCGTGTGTACGCGTTCCTGGTTGTGCCCGTGCCTAGCTGTATGCATCCATAAATATGCACCACTCTCCTCCCAGCAGATGACTGATGGCAGAAGGAGTCTATCACTCCTCTGCCCTCAGTACCCTTTCTACAACCAGGAGATTCAGGTAACACTCTGTATCTTCTTGGACCCAGTGGAGGTGACAAGCAGCTACAGGTATGTGTGTGAGTGGGGGGGAGTGCAGGGGAATATGGAAAGATACTGGGCATTTGTTACCTTAATGCAGAGAGTGTATTATGGTCAAAAAGACACCTAGCCTAGCCTTCAGTACTACTTTAATTGTAACTCCAGCCTTAGTCTGATCTCGCCCATATCACAGCAAACCAAACCTTAACCAAAATAGGCACACCTCCCCTGGTCATGTTTATAGACTTTACAGAAAATAGCACAAATATTTCAGCACATGTAACGGGAACACAATGAACATATTCGTTGTGGGTGTCCAAAATGTTATCTCTGCATTTTTAGCAAATATTTACATTATGTAATGGAAACAATAGAATTTACTGTTTACAGCTCTAGTTACACATATTAAAGGGCCAAGATTAGGGAATCCAGCTGCTGCCTACAATTCAACTACATTCTGAGATCCATCTTGTCGTCAAAGAATTGTAGGCAGTGTCATGTCTGCTATTAACATCCTTAACAAACTGAAATATCTGAGCATATGTTATTCTGTAATATTTCCTTCTTTTGATCTGACCCAGAACCTCTCATCTTCATTATCCTTTGTGTTTTCTTTATTGTCACATCGGCCCATGTTGCTCAGCATGCACAACTTTGAGCAGGTGTCAAGAGACTCAGTAAGGTTGCCACCTTGTCAGCTATATATAGGCTGAAGAAAATTACAAAAATATGGGAAAATATCTGCTATTTTTATACAAAGAAGAACTTGTTATATAAAGAAGGTATCGAATCACTGTGCATATTATTTTTTCGTTGAACAGATGAACAAAATACAGTAAAAGTGTATATCATGTATTATACAACCCAACACAAACAGTAATAGTAACAAGACTTTCATAGAAAAGCAAATGTGTTTTGCAGGTTTTTAAAAATCACTTAATCACTTGTGAAAGTATAAACACCCTTTTAAAATTCTGTAGTAATACAAATTAAAGTACAACTGTTACATTGACTCTTTTTTTTAGATGACATTGACACAATGGTGTAGAGTGCCATAGGCCAAGACATCTCAAGTTATAGATCAAGCCTAGGTTTTCTGATTTATCTGGTTGTCAGTGTATGTTTGTGTTTAAATGTATCCACAAGAGATGAATTTCAGTTGAGATGATCAAGGCCAACCCTGCGCTGTCAGTACAGATTTTGCATCCACTCTTCAACAATATCTGGGATACTGAAATGTTTCCGACTGACTAGATACAGGGCATTTTAGTAAAAGTCCCAAAGAAAGGGGACCTAACTGTGTGTGGCAACTGGCACAGCATTATGCTATTTGTGCATTACTTCTAAAGTCTTGTACAAGGTGATCCTAAATTGGATCCAGGAGAAGATCGATAATACTCTCTGAAAACAGCAACCCAGTTTTCATGGCGGAAGATCTTGTGTGGATCACATTGCCACATTCTGTATCATTCTGGAGCAAATCAATGAATTCCAAGAGTCTCTTCACTTGGTTTTCATTGACTATGAAAAAGCGTTCAACCAAGTCAATCATAACAATATCTGGGATGCTCCTAGACTTAGGGGAGTCGCGGAGAAGATCATCCACCACATTGAAGCATAGTACAAGGCCTTTGTGTGCAGAGTTCTGCCCGATGGAGTATTGTCCGATCCCATTCCGTTCACTGCCTGTGTGAGACAGGAATCTATATTATCAACACTACTGTTCCTCATAGTAATCGATGAGATGAGCCATTGACTGTAAACCAAATAGAGGATTGCATTTGCACCCAATCACCATGGAACAATTAAATGACCTTGACTTTGTTGACGACATTGTATTAATCGCGAAACATAGCGTTGATATGCAAAATAAGCTTGACAATCTCACTGAAAGTTCTGCAGCTGCAGGTCTAAAGATTAATGTTGCCAAGACTAAATTGATGGAGGTCAATACAGCAAACCTCTCCAGCTTCACTGTATCTGGCCAAGAAGTTAAAAAAGCTGACAACTTTCAATACCTTGGAGCTAGATGATGCCAGAGAGTGGTACCAAGATTAACATCTCCCCACAGATCAGAAAAGTCCATTCTGATATTTATAGTCCTCTATAGCTGGTGGTATTATTCTGAATTGCTGTATAATGTGCTGAGATTTGTAGTCGAGAAAATGTATAGGATCGAGAAAAATTATAGAACACTGACTTTGACACTGTCCGGCCCCTCCCACAGCATGGACAGCCAGCAGCGGTCTACAGTGGGCGAGAGTGCCTAAGTAGTGGACATGGAGCGGAGTAAGGCCAGAACCATGTAGGGAGCCCAGTGGGAGGAGAGCACCATCCCCCAGCCAGTCACCCCTTTCATGGACTTACTAGGAGTCCTCACATCTCCCGACCATTCACACTACTGTTGAGGGTAGTGTTGACTTTGTTGTAACAGACTTCACATTTGCAGCACACTTCTCTCCGTTTTGTTATGTGCCAGAATACACAGGCTACTTTTACCCATTTGTTAAAAAACACTTTAGATAAACATCTTCAAGTCATTGTAGCAACCACAATGGTCATTGATTATACAATACCTGGCTCCCCATTTTGTCCTCTCTTGCCCCTTGTTCCAGGAGGCCCTAGTTTGAGAAAATTACACCAGTTAGGGAGTAGGATAACTAAATATTTTATGGGGAAATATATAGAGATGATAAGTGATCAGCAATTAATTTTACCAATTTCAAAAGAAGATAAAGAACAGACTGTAAACTTGAGCTATATTAACATAAAGGTCAGTCTACCCAAAAATCACATTTTAATTATGGCTAGATGCTGGTGAGCTGAATTAGCAATGGGTTTCTTATTTTCACATAATACTACCAACTCTGTAGATATGCACCACAGTGTAGCACATTTCCTGCTGCAGCAGGAAATATCTCACTTTGCCTGCTGCATTCTTTTAAGGGGAAAAAAAAATTCCAGCAGTGAGACCATCTAATAATGTGACCAGAGCAGGGAAGTCAGAAGCAGTTATCTCCTGACCCAGTCGCAGAAAGATGTAAGAAACCACTTAATGTTTTAGCCCCTTTGGCATCGACCTAGTACTAAAACATTCGTTTTGGGATGACTGTCCTTTACGTGAATCTGTTCTTTGACCGTGCAACTGCAAGCCTCCCCAACTAAACATACTTTCCTTCTCACCTGCCCCTCTCTTCAGCCGCCAAGAGCTTACTTCAGGGTATGGGGAGCAAATGATTAATTCCCTTTTTGCCCACATGACAGTGCTTGTACTTGGCGATGCTGCCACATAAGGCAGGGAGAGCATCTTATGCTCTAAGTGTTGGCTTAACCAGGGCTTCTTAACTGCAACCAAATGGACCAGCAGGGGAATCAAAGGAAGGAGAGTATGTGTAGCTGAGGAGGGAGGCAGATAAGTGAAGTTGTTGATTTGTCCTGCATGGGAAAAGCACTGGACCCATTTAAAAATGTCAAAACATATTGTGTACATATATATA